ATATACCTCTGTATCATGGACCTCAACTACAAAATAGTTTCAGTTGCCGTACCATCATTTGGATAAGCTTCTGGTATGGTTCTAAGTAGCTGGTTTATAGCAGTGGTGTGAAAATTTTTTGCTTCACACATCTTTCCCCAATCTTCAAGATGAAGTCTGACAACATACTTTTTCGAGGTAAATAAATGATTTTTATATTTTATTATAGTAGCAAGAAATACATTTTGGTAGCTAGCATTAGAGACAAATTAAAATTATACTTTTACAGAGGGGTTGTAATTCTGTTTGCAGCTTCCTCTGTGCTTTCAGGAGCTTCATCTTCTCTGAAGACTCTTTGAAAAATAACCTTGATGCTCTCCCTGCTCCGAGCTCTTTTCTTTCTCCCAACCAAAAAATAGATCACTGGATTAATGCTGCTATTTAGGGCAACACCAAGATTAGAGCACATATTCAAATAACCCCCAATAATCCAGTCAAATTTACCACTAAACAAATAGATATGTGCTGGTAGAGTAAGAATAATGAAACAGAGAAGAGTAATTAAGATCATCACTAACAGTCGTCCACGTTTGATCTGTTTAGGTTTAAGACATATTTTGATGAATAGGATCAGAGTAGAGATTGTAATCAATGGAAGACAAAGCATGGAAATCAAAACCAAATAGAGATCTGAGAAAACATAATCGTAAAATAAATATTGTATAACATTTAAAATTCCACCCAAGAGGAAAGAGCAGATCCAGAGGAAGGCACAGACAGCATGGGACAAATGTTTCGGCCGGGAACAGTGATGCCAGATTGGGAAGAGGACAGCCACACACCGGTCAATGCTGATGGCTGTCAGAAGAAAAAGACCGTTGGTATACATGATGAAAAGGCAACAAATTATGATTTCTAAGACAATTTCTGCTGACATAATATATATATAATAATAAATGTAATACGTAGCCAAAAATACAAGACATCCAAAGTCAGAAATAGCTAAATTAAGAATCAACACAGTGAAAGGGTTTCTTTTAATCTGAAAGCCAAGTAGCCAGATAACCATTCCATTTAACAGGACTCCACTACAGCAGATGATGATTATGACAAAAAAAGAGATAATTTCAAAATAGTTAAACATTGTTTGGTAATTGTTGGCAACACCAGTGAT